GTACTAACCTGGCTTTTTGGCTTCTCTAATTCTGCTTCTGGATAACTGTTCTTGTTAACCGAAGTGTATCAACCTAGGGCATGGTTTTTATGCTTAAAAGCTCACCCTGAGAAAGTCTAAGTGCTACACTGGGATCCCAAACACCCAACATAGTCCCTGGCTGGCTAAGAAAGACTTTCTATTGGCTTAAACTCATGTCTGAATAATCCTCTCTGGTAAATACCCACAGTATGGGCTTATGGATGGTTGGGAGCCATCATATAGGTGCTGGGAATTGAATCCAGGTCCTTTGCTAGAGCAATACGGGCTCTAACCACTGAACCATCTCGAAAGTCCTAGAAACTTGATTTTAATAGACAACTTCAGGTTCACACCAGAAATCTAGCCTTCCCCATTTGTGTCCTTGGAAAGAGGTCCTGTGTCTCTGAATATCAACTTCTTAATTTATAAAAGATTTCTTGTTTAATAAATGACCCTGATTTATTAAACTTATTAAATGACATCATTTACATGGCAAAAACCAAAACAAAAATACTTTTTTTCTTTTTGATTTTTTCAAGACAGGGTTTCTCTGTGTAGCTTTGTAGACCAGGTTGGCCTATAACTCACATAGATCCACCTGCCTCTGCCTCCTGAGTTCTGGGATTAAAGTTGTGTGCCACTACTGCCCAGATAACTTTTTTTCTTTTCTTTTTGTTTGTTTGCTTGTTTTGAGATGGCCTCTCTATGCAGCTGTGGCTGGTCTGGAACTTGCTGTGTAGGGCACACTGACCTGTAACTCAGAGATCTATCTGCCTCTACATTGTGAGTATTGAGATTAAAAATGTATGCCACTATGCACAAACAATTTTCTTATTCAAAGGTACATATCTATAATCCCAGAACTTTTGTGGCTCTTCCAATTAACCCAGTGGCTTGAGTCTATAGGAACTCTGGAGGTGATAAAAAGTGATTAAGGGTTGGTTTTTAAGATAGAATGAAGCATTGTAGAACAGCCTAGGCTACCCAGTTTGGAGCCAGCTATATGGCAAGACCCTAACTTTTAAAAAATTGAGGCTGGGAAGTGGTGGCACATGACTTTAATCCCAGCATTTGGGAGGCAGAGCCAGGTAGATCTCTGTGAGTTGGAGACCAGTCTGGTCTACAAAAGTTAGTTCCAGGGCATCCTCCAAAGCCGCAGAGAAACCCTGTCTCAAAAAAACAAAAGCAAGCAAAAGCAAAACCAAAACAACAAAAATTGATTTCATTTTTGCTTTATGTGTGTAGGTGTTTTTTTTTCTGCACGCATGTATGCATGAGCTTGTGTGAGTGCTTAGTGCCTGCAGAGATCAGAAGAGGCCACTGGATCTCTTTGACCTCCAGTTATAGAAGGTTGCATGTGAGCCATCACATGGGCGCTAGGAGCTGGATCTTCTGAGGAAAAAAAAACAAACAAACAAAAAAAAAACACCAGCAGGCTAACTGCTGAGCCATCTCTCCTGCCCCGACAGAGTCTGACTTAGACAAAGTTCAGAAACATAAAGCAATGCCTTTGGTGATGTCACACAGTAAAGACGGATGTTCAGTCACTGGTAGAGCACTAGTCTGGCACACTTGAGGCTTTTGGTTCGATTCCCCAGCTTTATAAGGTAAACAAACAAACAAACAAACCCTTTGCTGACTCTCTTTGTGTCTAGAAGTCTCAGAACCTGGGCGCTAACAGCCTTCACTCACTCACCTCCTTTCAGTGGCTCACCTCCATCTCTCCCCTCTTCATTTTACCTGCTCCAGAGTGTTCCACATCGGTCTTGTCTTTGTCCGTGCTGTCCAGCTTACTCTTTCATCATTCAACAGCTGTTGAATGTGCATCTCCCATCAAGCACTGTTCTAGGTGCTGGGGGGCAGACAGGCAGCCAAGAGAGACAAAGCCTGCCTTCATGGAAATCACATTTATGGACAGAAGAGGCAGGTAATTTCTTTAAAAAAAAAAATATGCGGTATCCTCTAGGATGATTGATTTGGAGAAAAAAGAATAAAGCAGGGAAGAAAGTACTGGGAATGTGAGTTTGAGTATTTTTAGTTTGGGTGATGTCGTTTTTTGTTTGAACTCCATGTGAACCAGTCTGGTCTCAAATTCATAGAGATTCGCCTGCCTCTTTCTCCAGTGCTGGTATTCAAAGTGTGTGCCATATTCAGACACAAACTTCAGTTTTCAAAAATGTGGTCAAAGCAGGTAAGAAGTTGAGGTAAGAACATTCTAAGTGGAAAGAATAAATTCAAAGGCTCTGGGTCAGGAAAGCACCAGCAATTTTCAGGGAAATCAAAGTAGCCAATGTATATGGAACAGTTCATCCAAGGAGGAGAGCAGTACAAGGTCAGACCAACCAAGTGGGGATCGGAAGAGAATGCCGGGCTCACGGGCTCTTTTTGTGGACTGATAATGCCTTCTAGAAGACATTAAAGGACTGTAGGAGGAGGGAGGTGGAGGGCTGATTGACATTCTTATATGTAAGATAACATAAGTTACCATTTCTGAGCTGGGGATATAACTCACTGAGTGTCTGCCTAGCACCCACAACACCCTGGGTTAAATCCTCTAGAAAAAAAAAAAGACAAAAACATAACACACAACAGACACACACACACACACCCCCCCCCCCGTCTTATCAATTTTCAGTTTAATGACTGGTAAGCTGAATTAGTTCCACCGTGTGATGTATTCACGTTGCTGTGCAGCCATCTCCCCCTAATATTTTCATCTTCCCAAGCTGCAGCTCTGTACCTATCAAACAAGACTCTATATTCTCTTCTCTCCCCAAGCCCTTCTACTCAACCTTCTACTTTCTGCCTCTGAATGTGACTAGTCTAAGTGCTTCACTTAAGTAATACAATAGTTATGTTTTTGTTCCTGCTTGATTCTGCTTAGCATAACAGCATTAAGGTGCACCCATGTTGTGGCATACGTCAGAATTTCTTCCCTTTTAAGGGTGGATAATAGTCCTTTACAAGCACGTTTCTATTTTGTTCATTCATTCACCCAACAAACCCTTGGCTTTCATGTTTTGATTCTTGTAAATGATGTTTCTATGTTCACAGGTGTTTATCTATTCAAGTTTCTGCTTTCAGTTCTCTGGGGCATTCTATGCCCAGAAGTATTGTGGCTAGATTGTATAGTGACGGCCCAGAAGTATTATGGCTAGATTGTATAGTGATGGCCCAGAAATATTATGGCTAGATTGTATAGTGACGGCCCAGAAGTATTATGGCTAGATTGTATAGTGTGTTTTAAGCAATGCTTACTTTATCACAAAGCAGCTGTGTCAGTCTACATTCTCAAAAACTTGGTTTTTTACAGAACAGATACACTAGACTAAGGGAAGGTGAATGTGGGCACAGGCTAAACCAGCTGAGAGGCTACTGTGACAGGGACAGACAAAGGTAGCTCTGTCTACACAGCAGCGGTGGAAGTGCCTGGATTCTACCTTTGTTAGAAGGAAAGAGGCAACTGAACTAAAAGGGAGGAACCAAGATAATTGGCTTGAGCAACTGGAGGAATGAGGTTTAGGTGGACACATCAGAAGTGTGTGTTGGGACACGTGACATCTAATATGCTCAGTACACACCCAATAGATATGAAGAACATGGTGTTTTGAGGTCATTGGAATGCAGAGAGTTGCTGACATACAGGTGGCTTTTAAAATCTTGAGACTTGAGGTCACCTGAGGAATGATCATACATTCGGAAAAAGAGACCTAAGGATTGGGCTGATGGACTTTCTAGAAACAAGAAAGCAAAAATCTGTGTGGAAGAGATGTTCAGGGGACAGGTCAGGAGGGCTCAATGTCCTGAAACCACTAGAAGATTGGGCAAGGAGGAGCTGTGTAAAAGAGCCATGTAAGATACTAGACAATAGAAAACTGGCAATTCTTGGAGTGTTTAACAAAACTTCCTTCAATGGATTGTGAGAAGGCAAACAAAAAAGCCTGAGAGAAACCCAAAACATAATAAGAAATAAATGTGAGACAATGAAGAATTAAGTCAGGAAGTTTTCCCACTACGAAGAAGCAGGGAAATAGAGTAGTGGTCGGTTGTTAAACCAGACACAATGGTGCGCACCTTTAATCCTAGCATCGAGGAAGCTGAGGCCTAATAACCCGAAAAACAGCTTGACTACACAAATCCTGAACCAGTCCAGGCACCTGCAAGCACATCTCTTTTTTAAAAAGTGTGTTTCGTAAGCTTGTCTCTCTCCCTCCTCGTTAGGTGAGGTAGCGCTGAGAGAGAATTGGTATAGCTAGATCTTTACTTAGGCAGACAAGTGGCAGAGGTGACATTAGCTAAGGGGCACCCTTCCAGGAGGGGTGACAAATTCGTGTTGGGGTGGGGGTGGGATTTGCATAGATTGAGGTTGTAGGTAGGTCACAGCATCTGTGGAATCCCCCTTCCACAACTCAATAGACCTCATTTCCCCTCTATCAATCTCAGGATTTTTCCAGAACAATTCAGCTCACGTTGTCTTAAGTTAGGCCACCGAAAGTTGTGATAGTTGAATGAATATCTGCCCCTCCAGACGATACTGGGGTCATCCAGAGGATAGCTTGAAGTAACCTCTGAATTTTCCCCACAACCCTCCAAACTCTGGCTCAGAGCCAAGCAGTCGTTGCTTGAACTAGCCGGGACCAGAACACTGAGCAGCTGCTACGCAACGGATTTCACAAAGGGGGGCGGTCCTAGCCCTGCGTTCGACGTTCGAGCCGGCCCTCCCCTTTTCTCTTCTCTACTTCCAATTCGCGGTCTAGAGAACCTGAGGAACTTGGCCCAGGGAGGCCACTGTAGCCAGGGGCTACTGGGAAATCTAACAGTTGTTGGGTGGAACCCGAAGGCAATCTTGAATAGGATTGGATCGAGAGTTCAGAGGCGGAGCTAGAAATAGAATCTGGAACTCGCGTTAGACAGAGGCGGGGCATATTGAGGGAGGGGGCGGGGATTGGGCGGAGGACTGTGCGGGTGTCGGGATTGGGGAATGCGCTTGGGGGCGGAGCCTGAGGGGGCGGTGCCGTGTCGGAAGTCAAAGGTCGGTAAATAGTGGTGATGTCATGTAGGCAAGATGGCGGAAGGGTGAGCCTGTCGTTCCTCTCTGGCGTTGGGGCTTGCGTTCTCCCAGGGCTGGGGTAGTGGGCCAGGGTCCCTGTAAGGGACAGGCTGCCGGGGCGGGTGCGGACCGAGCTGAGAGGGCAGAGTGGAGGCGTGGTGCGAGGGGGTGGGGAAGGGGCCCGTGAAGCCTCACCCGCCGGCCGCAGCAGAGGGTGGGCAGGAGTCATACTGCAGGGCCTGCAGATGTGTCTGTCTTCCTCAGGGAGGACGTGGGGTGGTGGCGGAGCTGGCTGCAGCAGAGTTACCAGGCAGTCAAAGAAAAGGTAAGCAGGACCAGCACCCTTGCCTCGGCAGGGCTCTGCGCCGTCTCCTTGCAACCGGATCCAGCTAGCCCTGCCTGGGCTTTTCGAGCCTCTGTGAGGCCTTTTGGGAGAAAAGGATGAAACACCACCACAAACAACACCTTACTCTCACAGCAGTGTAAATATTAGAATATATGATAATCGCTACTCTCGAGTCAGGTTGGGAGGGTACAAACCTTAGCCAAACAGACACGGAAGGTCTCTTGAGACAGCTTAGTACGGTGGGGAGGCTGTCAGACAAAATAGCCTCGTAGTTACTGTTGTTAATACTGTGAAGAAAGTACCTAACATCTTGTCTAGGCTAGGGAGTCGTGAGCCAGGGAAGGCGTAGCAAAGAAGGTAAGAAGTAGGAACCCAGGTAGAGATGAGGGTTGCCGTACACACTGGTGCCTGTTGAGCCCTGCCTGCCTGAGTGAGTGGTCTGCAGAGGGATGGATTGATGGCCAGAGAGTGAAGACCTGGGAAATTGCTGCTACGTAATCCCCGGGAAGTAAGTAATGCTTGTCCCTGTAGTAGGCAGTGCCAGTGGGTACTCTGTACTGTCCCATGGTTTTTTTTTTTTTTTTTTTTTTTTTAAACCAGCCCAACTAAGTTGTGGGAAAGCTAATTACTATTTACCTCAAACAAATGAAGTGAGTCCTGCTTTAGGGCAGACTCCAAGAGGCTTCTGATCCTCAGTCAGCCCAGTACTTGGGAGCAAAAACAACTTTGTTCTCTCCCTGACCTGGGTAGTCTCTCTAACTACGGCCCAGCACAGTTGAGCATCTCCTGAGCTGTTTTGTTAAAGATGAAGAGGGAGGTCTTTACACTAAAGTTTACTCTGAATCTCAAAGTTGCATGCTCCTGCAAAGAAAGTGTAGTGTTCATTCGCAGGTGCTACTCAAGGGCTTCCTGTGTGTGTCAAGGCTCATCTCAGAACAAGAAGACTTAGTTTCTCCCTTTAGTTCCTTACATTTATGGGAACTTGGGCTAGTTATTTTTTTGTTGGTTTGGTTTGTTTTGAGACAGGGTCTCCTATGTAGACCAGGATGGTCTCAAACTCACAGAGATCTACGTGCCTCTGGAGTGCTGGGACTACACATTTGGCTTTGGCAAGTCTTTTAACCTTTCTAGGTTTTATTTCCTCACCTGTAAAGTGAAATAATTCCTGTCTAATTGGTTGTCATGAGGATTGAATGATATACAGAACACTAAGAACCATATGTAGCAATTTACTATACAAGCATTCACTCTTTTTATTAAGTACTGTAGGTAAAACATAGTCACCATCACCATTTTTCCCCGTTCTACCTTTTCTTGCTCTTTTGCTGCTTTCCTTCGTTTGCTTCCCATCCTGGCTCCCTTTGGATCAGTCACTTCCCTGCTCCCTTAGCATACATTGCCCCAGAGCCTACAACTTTGGGAGGGCCCTATAATCTGTCTTCCTCTGCTCCTGTCATGAGCCTCCTGTTCGAGCATCTGTACTATCCATCCAAGTCAATGCACAGGCACAGTGTTAGAGAAGGCATAATTGCCTCTTGTTCCAGTCTAGCAGTCTGGGCACTCCCCAACAAACCTTTTCATTTTCTTATTTTTCTCTTCCCCTTGACTTCAGTAACTCTTCCCTCAAAAGTTTTTGTTAAACAGGCTCACGGATTTTAAAACATGAGGTCACTAAGCTTGATCTCAATTCACTCTCACCCACCCCTGAAGCCACCACTATACACTTATCTGTAGTCACACTCGTTGCTCACTTGCCAGCCCCACTGGGTAGTTTTAGCCCTTATCTTTCTGGAACTTTCTACAGCAGTTGACACAAGTGCCCTCCTTGTCTGTCCCCTTTTAAAACTTTACTCGATTGAGCTCATGTTTCTCCGATGCCCTTTAAGGATGGAGCTCTGGGGATCTTTGTCCTTAGCTCACAACTGAATCTACTCTGCAGACTCTTACTATGGATCACCTCTCCTTGGGGATTATTCCTGTCACTTACTGGACAACTACCCAGATATCCTGTTCTCACCTTGACTGAGTACCTGAAACTATGCCAGTCACTAGAGAGACATATTAAAAATAAAAAGATGGTGCACAGCTTTAACCCAGCACTCCAGAGGCAGAGGCATGAGTGAGTTCCAAGCCAGCCTGGTCTACAGAACAAGTTCCAGGACAGCCAGGGCTACACAGAGAAACCTTGTCTAGAAAAACCAATAAATAAGTAAATAATAATTACATTTTATTTAGTAAACAGCCAGAGCTACATGGAGAAACTCTGTCTCAAAAGTAAAATAAACAGAAATGAAAATCTCATTGTGTCCCACCTGCTTCAACCCTTTAGTAGGTCCTCATTGTCCCATTCACAGTCATGTCAAGCCAATAAAAAGAGGCAGGCCCATCCCAGGGGGAGCCAGGCGTGTTGGTACACGCCTTTAATCCCAACACTTGGGAGGCAGAGGCAGGTGGATCTCTGAGTTCAAGGCCAGCTTGGTCTACAGAGTGAATTCCAGGACAGCAACACAGAGAAACCCTGTCTTGAAAAAAAACAAACAAAAACCCATGCTTTGGCTGGGCATGATGGTGCAGATCTGTAATCTGAGCGTGACATGTAGCACTTGGAAGGGAGGCAGAGGTGGAAAGATCAGCCAACATAGTGAAAGCTCAAGACAAAACAAAATTTCCTGTGATTGATCCATGTAAAATGAAAGGATTTGCAGAGTGGGGTGAGCATGATATAAGCAAGACAGACATAGCAGGCAGCTGAAGATCAGCTGGCTCAAGCTAGCGCTGAACAGGTTGGTTAAACAGGAGCAGATATCATTCAGTCCAAAGAAACTTGATAGACAGAATCTGGGACAGTGGAACTGTTTCAGAAGACTGGTGGGAGAATCCATCCTTCCTTGGAATAAAAAAAGAAAAGTCACATACATATATATTGCAGGAGTGTGGTGGTAGCCATAATCCCAGCACTTGGAAGACAGAGGCAGGTGGCTCTCTGTCAAGTCAGCCTGGTCTGTATAGTGAGTTCCAGGTCAGCCAGGAATAAAGTAAGACACTGTCTCAAAAATATTTTTAATTAAGAATTAACAAACCATATACATTTTATCATATTATTGGACATTTCAAGCAGGTAGGATTTAAAACATGTCTGTTTTGGAAGTGTTTAGAAAAAGTGTGTGTCTTCTTCCACTTCGCCACTCTGCTTTTGAGGTCATTTGATAGGAGAAAAACAATGACTACATGTGGCTCACTCCTGGGGACATAGTTATGAGTGCCTGGGCTAAAACTTTGGTCCTTATGCTAAATAGCAGGGGTTTCCCTCTCTGCTGCCAGGTAGTCCCTGGTGGTGAACTGGGACAAGTAAGTATTATTCCCAAGTCCCGGCTCTTGGGAACGTTTCCCAGACACATGGGGTGATGGAACCTGCTAGCTTTGTCATTTTTCTGTTTTCCATAGTCCACTGAAGCTTTGGAGTTCATGAAGCGGGACCTGACAGAATTTACCCAGGTGGTACAGCACGACACGGCCTGCACCATAGCAGCCACAGCCAGTGTGGTCAAGGAGAAGCTGGCAGTGAGTACTACCCACCTTGAGGGGCCACCCTCACAGTCTGGCCTGCCCTGGGACCCTGGTGGGGACCCCCAGCTTTGCCCTCATTAGGTGATTGCTTTCCCCTGTGTGGAGATAGGAATATTTTGAAGGAATTGTTTGTCAAGCAAATAAGCCATAGATAGTTTTTCCACGCCTATAGCATTTTAGCAGATGTTTTCCATTAACAAAATCATGCATTGTAGAAAACAGGTAAACAAATATGTGTTGTATGTGTGTATAAAACAAAAGTCTAGCCTAGAGATACCCAAAATCCCTTCCCTTGAAGGTAACTATAGTTAATTTAACTATCGTTAAATTGTTATTAGACCTCTATCTGTATTTTCTTTAAAAAAAACAAAAACTAGCCAGGCAGTGGTTGTTTATGCCTTTAGTCCTAGTGCTCAGGAGACAGAGGCAGGTGAATCTGAGTTTGAGGCCAGTCAGTCTGGGCTACAGAGTAAGTTCTAGGACAGCCAGGGTGACACAGAGAAACCTTGTCTCAAAAAAAACAAAAACACAACAAAACAAAAAAAATCAACTGAATATCATATCATTTAAAAAATATGTGTGTGTGTGTGTGTGGCTTATGTGTTTGTGTGTGCAAGTATGTGCCAAGTTAGAAGACAACATGTGGGAGTTATCTGATTCCAGGCCATCAAACCATCTTGTCAGCCCCGAATGCTTTTTTTTTTCCCCCTTTTGGTTTTTGGGGACAGGTTTTCCCTGAGTAACCCTGGCTGTCCTGGAACTCACTTTGTAGACCAGGGTGGCCTCAAACTCACAGAGGTCTGCCTGCATCTGCCTTCCAAGTGCTGTGATTAAAGGCGTTGTCCTCTGACCTCTGACTTCCATGTGTTTACCATGCTGCATACAGACACGAATCACACAATAATATTAAATTTTAAAAATTTGAGTGTAATCTTAGAGATTTCAAGTGTGAGGTCCAGGTAGTAGTGGTACCCACCTTTGATGCCAGCACTGGGGAGACAGAGGCAGGTGGATCTCTGTGAGTTCAAGGCCACCCTGGTCTACAGAGCAACACAGAGAAACCCTTTCTTTGGTAAATCAAAAAAAAAAAGAAAGAAAGAAAGAAAGAAAAAAAAAAAAAAGAAGAAGAAGAAAGAAAGAAAAGAAAAGGAGACAGATTGAGAGAGATATTGAGAGAGATGTCCTAAAGGCTGAATGGTGGTGGCCCACACCTTTAACGCCAGCACTCAGCACTCTGGAGACAGATCTCTATTAGTTCAAGGCTCACCTGGAAAAAAAAGAAAGAAAAGCCCTTCAGTCTTCTTACAGCCTGTTCTTACAGAGGCTCCCTCCTCTCAGGTGAATAGTTTGTGTAGCCTCCATAGAGAGCACCCGCTCACATGTACCCACACACATACACACACTAAGTTCTTTTATTTATTATTTTTTAAAAGAGATAATGCCAGTATACACCTGTAATCCCAACACTTGGCAGGTTGAGGCTGGAAGATTTTTAAATTTAGGTCAGCCTTGGTTACATAAAAAATTTTAGGTCTGCCTGGGCTATATATAGCAGGATTGTGTGTGTGTGTGTAAGTGTAAATGTGTACATTCATACATGTTTGTGTGGGCTTGAAAATATGTGCAGTTCACCTGCATCTAGAAACCAAAGGACAAGGTTGGGTGTTGTGTAACCACCACTTTGTTTTTTGAGACAGTGTCTCACTGGGCCTGAAGCTTGTCAGTCAGGCTAGACTTTGCCTCCATAGCTCTGTCACCACGCCTGGCTTGTTACATGAGTATGTAGGCTTGAACTCAGGTCCTCATGCTTGCACAGTAAGCACTTCTAACTGAGCCATCCCTAGCTCTCCTGCCAACTATTGATCAGCCTAGTTTGCCTTGATGCAACAATCAGTTGAAGCTCTCTTCATACCTACCTTGGCCCTGTTCAACATCCCCAGCTGGGACTGGAGGGCTCTACCTACCTGCTCCTCCAGACTGAGATGGGGAGGAGGAGTTTAAGCATGTCTCACACCCTCATAGTACTCCTCTCTCCTGATGCTTTCTTTACCTTCTAGACCCCAGAGTTCAACCTGCTCCTAGGACACTGTCTTCCTTTCTTTGGTTTTCTCTGCAGACTGAAGGCTCCTCAGGGGCAACAGAAAAAATGAAGAAGGGGTTATCTGACTTCTTAGGGGTGATCTCAGACACCTTTGCCCCCTCACCAGACAAAACCATCGACTGCGATGTCATCACCCTGATGGGCACACCCTCCGGCACAGCTGAGCCATATGATGGCACCAAGGTATTTGCTGACAGCCTTTGCTAGAGATTCGAAGCTTTGCCTACCAACCTTTTATCACTAAAGTAGTATATATGTGTTCAGGCTAAAAATATAAACAAAATTGTATAGTTGGAGAACATCAATAAAAAAGAAGGCCAGTGGTGGCACACACCTTTAATCTCAGCACTTGAGAGGCAGAGGCAGGTGGATCTCTGTGAGTGTGAGACCAGCCTGGTCTACAGAGTGACTTCTAGGGCAGCCAGGGGTATTACACAGAGAAATCCTGTCTTAAAAAAAAAAAAAAAATACAGGTGGTAGTGGATCCCAGCACTCAGAAGCAGAGGCAAGCAGATTTCTGAGTTTGAGTCAGCCTGGTCTACAAATGGAGTTCCAGGAGGGCCAGAGCTGCAACACAGAGAAACCCTGTCTTGAAAAGCCATAAGTAAGTAAAAATAATAAAGAGGATAATTACTTGGGTTTTTGTTTGTTTGGTTGGGTTTTGTTTTGTGTTTTGGGGGTTCCTAACCACTTTTCAGTGCCTTTAAACCCTTACACATGGGCATAAACCATTATTTGTTCAGTCACTTTCTGGTGCTTTGCATTTGGATTCCTTTCTGCTTTCAGCCATAGCAAGGACCCTGAGAAGAACATCTTTGGGGCATAATTTGTTTCATATTTGGTTTCTTCAGGACTAATTTCCACTAGAAATAAATGCACCAGTCAGAACCCATGAAGAGCAACTGTCTCCTGTTTCATGAATTCACAGGGTCATATCATGGCAATCAGGCCTTTGTTGCACCTTATCACGTTGGATTGCCATTCCAAACTTGCATTACTGGCACTATTTACTAACATGCTAGAGCGTTGGGATTTTAAATGATAAAAATCTAAGTTATCACAGTGACTCACCACTAAACTCAGTTGCTGAAGTTCCCATGCAGACAGCTGTGCTCTGTGTGGTGTGAGGAAGCAGGGCCTTTCTGTTTATCAGCTGAAATTGGGTTTCCTGTGGCCCTAGTGAAGCATGGCCTTACAGTGCATTTATTTGGTAGAGTGACTCTAAAATGTACTTTTTCTTTTCTCTTGTGCTGGGCCTAACTTTGTTCCCTGCTATGTTGGCTTTATACATGCTAAACAAGTGTTCCACCACAGAACCACATCTCAATGCAAGGTATTAATTATTGATGGGATTGTTATCATAGTCATCATCATTATTTGGTTTCTCAAGACAGGATTTCTCCATATAACCCTGGCTATACTGAAACTCAGTCTACAGACTAGGCTAACCTTAAACTCAAGAGATCCACCTACCTCTGTCTTTGCTGGGATTAAAAGTATGTACCACTATGCCTGGTTATTGTTGATGGATTTGTTGTTGTTGCTGTTTTGGTTTTTCAAAACAAGGTTTCTCTGTGTAGCCCTGCCTGTCCTGGAACTCATTTTATAGACCCAAGTGTAGGGACTAAGGGTCTGTGCTATCACTTCCCAGCATTGTTGATGGATTTTTCAAACTATTTATTTATTTATTTAGAGGCATAATCTCACTATATAATACTGGTTGGATTTAAACTCAGAATTTAGATCAGGCTGACCTAAAACTTAGAGATCTGCCTGTCTCTGCTTCTTGAGTGCTGGGTTAATAAAGGTGTTCATTACCATGCTCAGCCTTGTTGGATTTCAATTTGGGGATAATTAATTACATTATCTCACAATTTTCTCTTAAATTTGGACTTTATTAGCATAATTTCATTTGACATTTTAAAAATTTTACATATTTCAAAAGTTCTATATATAATTTTATTTAACCTACTTACTGTATTTTCTTAGTTCTCAGGGTTGGAATATTGGGTAAGAGATTTTTTTTCTGAGGGCCTTAGTTCTAGGGGCTAGCTGAGTGCCACTGTGATCATTAATAAGTGACTTGGAGTTTGGTGACCAACAAGGGGGAAGCTGTTGTGGCTGGTTTGATACTGTGTACAGAGGGAATTTTCTCTGTTGCTTACAGGCTCGCCTCTACAGTCTACAATCAGATCCGGCAACTTACTGCAACGAACCCGATGGTGAGGGGGCAGCAGTGGGAGTGAGCTTGTGGGGCAGGAAGATGGAGAAGATATGGCCTGTAGGGTCTCTATTCCACATGAAGGAGGCCAAGTAGTCCTACATACTGGAAACAGAGTAGGACCTGTATTGCCTTATACTCTATGCAGTAGGTTATTGTTCCCTTCCTCCCTGAATCTCAAGTATTTTAACCCTAACTCTGTCTCTTGAAGAGGCTTTGCTCTTATGATCCCTTGTCCTCTCTGGTCAGCTGTCTGCCATCCCTGCTGCCCCTCTCCCATGCTAAAAACAAACTAGAGATCAGAAGTGAGTTAAGCCTTCAAACTGCCCATTCCTTCAGAACCAGGCTGCAAAGAGAGAGGTGGGAGTCAAGGAGTCAAGCAGAGGGAGTAAAGAGTGGATTGACTCTTTCTGCAGAATGTGGGCAGTGGAGCCTAGCAGTAATGTTAGGAGTGGAAGGTTATTCAGGCAAGAACAGAGAGCCCATTTGGTGACACTGAATTAAATGAGGAGGTGAAGGCAGCAGCCAGGGAGCCAGTTGGGGAGGGCTTTGTGTCAGAGTAAGCAGTTTGTGTTTGGTCATGAAAGACTCATGGTAATGGTTCTAGACTTTTCTTTAGTCACAGAGCCATTAAAAATCTTTTGACAGGCAGATACAATAGTATACTCCTAAAATACCAGGTACTTGGAGGCTGAAGCAGAATAATTGAAAGATTGGGACTAGGCTGAGCTATGTGATGAGTTCAAAGCCAACTTGGGTAATTTAGCAAAACTTCGTACCAAAGTAAAAACAAAAAGGACTTGGGCTATGTGCCTAGCATATATACAAGGCCCTAGGCTTAATCTCCAATACCAGAAAAGTAAAAACAAACCAAATCAAAACCCTGATGGAAACGATGAGCCCTTTCTCTATCAAATTATGTTTAAGACCAGGCATAGTGGTACACGCTTTATTAATCCTGTAACTTGGGTGGGTGGTAGAGGTGGACAGATCTCTGTGAATTTGAGGCCATCATGGTCCATAGCAAGTTCCAGGCTAACCAGGGCCATGTAGTGAGACACTGGCTCAAAAAAACAAAAACATAAGTATACATATATATATATGTATGTGTTTGTGTGTATGTATGAGTGTGGGAATTCTTTGATCTCCTAAGATTTTCTGTGGACCCTGCCTTTAAAAGTTCACATTGTAGAGGACTGTTGAAGAGTCTTGATGCTCAAAGTGATCATGTTTTGCACTATGTAAAGTAGCCCATGAGGCCTTGTTGTAAAGGGTGGGACAAAGATGGGAAAGTAACGTAGGGATGCGGGATGCCTAGGGACCCCATGTCAGAGGTGAGGCCAGAGCCTAGGAGAAGCAGGCTGGATGGAGAGAGAAGTGTGCAACAGGAGAGTCAGAAGAAGTAGAAGCAGGGTGGGTGGGCAGGAAGGAGCTGGGATATATTCCGGGTTTCCAGCAGTAGCTGAGTGGGCGCAGACAGGAGCTTGTCTCATGACAGCAGTTGGATCTGGAGCCTAGGGTGTGTTCTGGGTTGCAAAGAAATAGGAATTGTCAGAGGAGGCCAAAATGGCTTAAGGGAGACTCATGAGAAAACACAAAGTGAGGGAAAGGCAGACCTAGACATTCAGAGGAGGAAAGGAGCAAAAAGGGGGAAGAGAGCCCTGGTCACATGGTATAAGGGTGGACAGAGGTGCAGCCGTGGGCTCTGACAGTGTGGCTCTACATTAAGCAAAGCTGTTCAGTAGCCAGCGCAGAGGACTGAAGTGGCAGCAGAGATAGGAGACCGTGGAGACTGGTCCTTTCTAGAGCTCCTGATCTTGGAAGAACCCATCCAACCTTGCCTGACTCTTTACCCCTTGTATAAAATGGCTTTGAAAACAACCCGTAAGCTTTCTTTACTGTTCCAGTCCAGGCTTAAGTGTTTTCTCTAGTCCCAGTGTTCTTTCCCTAGACACAGGGAACTGACCATCAGTGTCTGTCCCTCTGCAGGGCCCCCGGAGTTGTTTGACGCCTGGCTTTCCCAATTCTGCTTGGAGGAGAAGAAGGGGGAGATCTCAGAGCTCCTTGTAGGCAGCCCCTCCATCCGGGCCCTCTACACCAAGATGGTGAGGGCCCAGCCAGCAGGACCTCAGCTGGCTCCCAGCCTGAGGTATTGGGAAGTGGGAGGGACATGTGTAGTGGGAGGCCCTATACAGCCAGATGGACCATGTGCTGAGCAGAGAAGCTGCCAGGAAGAAGCTGATCTGCCAGGCTCCTGGCAGTCAGAATGGTGAGAAGTGGAAAGACCAGCAGGTCTATGGCAGTTCTATTCTCCTTCCTTGGCCAAGGTGGGTCTGGAAGGTGGGTCTGGTTGAAATTAGAGTAGGGTAGAGGGGCTTTGACAAGTACTGTAAGCCACTTCCTATGTCCACACTCTAGAGTGGCTGGGAGCAGACTGATAGGACTCTATACATCATTCCCAAGTTTTCACCTCCATTTCCTCTCCCTCCAGGTCCCAGCAGCTGTTTCCCATTCAGAATTCTGGCACCGGTATTTCTATAAAGTTCACCAGCTTGAACAGGTATGCTGGATTAATGGGGGAAACCCCCTGACTCAGCCCTGGGGGATGCAGGCTAGATTTTTGTCAAGGCAAGAAAGAGTTGAAGACTGTAGTCCTTTCTGGGGGTGCCAGGGGTTCTAGGGTCACGGTCAGGACCTGAGAGGAGGGTGCCCTAACCCCCTGGTCATTATTTTCCCACCCTCAGGAGCAAGCCCGGAGAGATGCCCTGAAGCAGCGGGCTGACCAGAGCATCTCTGAGGAGCCTAGGTGGGAAGAGGAAGAAGGTAAGAGGCCTTGAAATGAGGTGGGCAGGTGACAGGCTTATCTGTGTACTCTAGAATGCCTGAGAAGACATGGCATCCCTGGAAAATTAGGAAATGATATTGCATGCATGCTAAGCCATAAACGCTGACAAGGAGCTGTCACAAAGTTCTCGTGAGACCTAAAGTTTGGATAAGAAATCACATATGCCAGTTGGAACAGGTTGCCATGTCACATATGAACCTGCAATTGCATAGTTACTGAGGAATGCACTGAACATCTAGAGTCTCTCTCCCCAGCCCCCTTCTACATAAGACTGCAGGATTGTGGCTCAAGTGCCTAATACTCCAGAGGCAGAGGAAGGCAATTGCCTATGAGTTCAAGGCTAGCCTGGTCTACATAGTGGGGTCTAGGTCAGTCAGGGTTACATAGCAAGACCCTGTCTCAAAATAAAAGAGACAAGACTGTAGGTCAGGATGTGTTAAATACTTACACCATATGTTCAACCTCCACTAAGAGCTTGTTGTGTGGGTAGCCAGTGTCCCTTCTCAACAGTGAGGTGGCTTGCATAGGATGAAATAGAGTCTAGCCTGAACCCAGAGCAGATCCACCTCCAGGCCTTGGCTTTCAGCTGTCTTAGACCATCACAGGCTGTGTTGCTGGAGTCCAGCTCGGCCTCTGTATAAGTGAGGCTGACTGTCGGGGAATACCTGCAAAAGTACCCGTGCTGCAGTAGCACTGAGATACAGACTAGTCTTCATTGTAGTAAACACGACAGCATGTGCACATTCCAAGGCTGTCTTAGGTCTGACTAGGTTGCACTCCCCCTTTCCCCTGCGTTTCTCTCTATAGAGGAGCTCGAAGGCATTGCACCATCTCCAAAAGAGGCAAAGATTCCAAAAGAGACCAAAACCTCCACATCCCCTGAAGATGGACCTGGCCCCCAGAGCCCTTGTGAAGACACTCCAGTGGAACCACCTGCAGAGGTGACTCCATCAGAGAGCAGCGAGAGCATTTCCCTCGTGACACAGATTGCCAACCCTGCTGCTGCACCAGAGGCACCATTGCTGCCCAAAGACCTGTCCCAAAAGCTACTTGAGGCATCTTTAGAAGAACAGAGTCTGGCTGAGGATGAGGGTGAAACCGGACCTCCACCCCCAGTTCCCTCCAAGCCTCTCACCCCTGCCGGCCGAGCCAGCGGCCCAGAGCCCAGGCCTCCAGCCAGAGTAGACACCCTGAGAGAGGAGGCGCCCACAGACTTACGAGTATTCGAGCTGAACTCAGATAGTGGAAAGTCGACACCCTCCAACAATGGCAAGAAAGGTAGGTCTGGAGGCTTACATACAGGGGGCTAAATGAGCAGGGCAAGCAAGAGCTGCCTCCATGCATGTGTGTCTATGTATTGTGTCTGGGTACTTTGTCCAGTTTATACAGCATAGGAGCACTTACATTTCATCGATGATAATGGGGGGATATATATACATATATATGTATATACATACATATATATGTATATATATAGTCATACTTTATTAGCTAACATTTCTATGGTCTTTGAATGAAAGAGGCATTTAGAAATTGTTGGGGTCTTTTTGTTTGCTTGACTTTAACTTTTTGTTGTTTTATCTGCATGTATAATGTGTTGCACCATGTATATATAGTGTGTCTTAGTTAGGTTTTTATTTCTGAGAAGCAACATCGTGACGACGGCAACTCTTTTTTGTTTTTTTTTTTTTTTGTTTTGTTTTTCGGTGACAAGGTTTCTCTGTGAAACAGTCCTGGCTGTCCTGGAACTCTGTAGACCAGGCTGGCCTCAAACTCACAGAGATCTGCTACCTCTGCCTCCCAAGTGCTGAGATTAAAGGTGTGTGCAGCCACCACTTGACCATGGCAACCCTGATAAAGAAAACATTTAATTGGGGTGTAACCTTACAGTTTCAGGGTTCAGTACATTATCTTCATGGTGGGGAGCATGGCAGTGTGCAGGCAGACATAGTGCTGCCTACATCTTGATATGCAGGCCACAGGAAGACTGGGCATATCCTGAGCATAGGAAACCTCAAAGCCCACCCCCACAGCAACACACTTCCTCTAACAAGGTCATACCCACTCCAACAAAGCCACACCTAACAGTGCCTGCCCCTCCCTACGAGATTATGGGGGCCAGTTACATCCAAACCACCACAGAGTACCCACAGAGTCCAGGAGAACATTGGATCTCCCTTGGGACTAACGTTACAGGCCATTGTGAGCCATCATGTAGGTGCTGAGAATCAAACCCGGGTCCTCTAAGTAGCCAGTGCTCTTAACTTCTGAGCTTTTTGAGACAGGACCTCATTATGTAGTTCAGGCTGGCCTTAACTCTTGGATCCTTAGCTTCCCAAGTGGTAAAATAACAGGAACGAATCATCACCAGCCCAACATGGTAGAGTTCTTAAAATCAACAGAATGAAATTTATAATAGCCCAGTGCTAAAGGTCACATGATTTTGAATGTTTCCCTTTCCTCGGGTCCATATTTTTGTCTTCATTTTACAGATGAGGAAAATGGTATCTAGACATGTTAAAATAACTATTTTCCAATTAATTATGACTGAGGAGTGGAAAGCCTAGCTTCACACCCAGGTCTGTGTCTGCCTTGAGTCTATGTCATGCCCTTACATACACTTAGCCCATTTCTAGTCTTTTAAACAATTGAGCTTTGCCTCTGCTGGGGATCCCTGTGTGTTTTTAGAGGTCTTCTCCCTTGTAGAGCCCTAGCCACCTTTAACAGCAGGGCCTCAGCTCTCCCTGCATCATGGAGTCTGGCACTGGAGACTGCGTTTATGTGAAAGAGCAACTTTTTCAACTCCAGGAATTAAAGGCAAAAGTACGGCTGTCAGCTTTCTGTGTCTCCCAAGACCCTGCTGCAGATTGTCACCCCTTGACAAACATGCTGCCCTAAAGCTTGCCCCTCAGGTGAGATCTGGCCTGCAGCATTGTGACAGTTAGCTGCAGGAGATGGTAAATAGGCTCACCACAGCCCCACCCTGCTCCCTGACGGAAACGTCCAAGTTTCCAGGCTCTAACACAGTGCATCTGTTACACTTTGTTCAGTGACGTCATCCATTGAGCTCCTGCCTGCTCTTTATGAGACACTGAGGGGGGTGGGGCAGAAGGGACAGCCTTTGTGATGAAACATGAGCAGTATGGGACAGGTTTTGATACTGGAGGCATTCAGAGAAAGGAGGACTCTGAGCATCAGCAGTGATTCATCAAGGAGACAGGTGGAGAGTTGGGCAGGTGCTGGGAAGTCATAGTCCAGCTTGAGGGGACGTGTTAAGGGTTTGTGACTGAAGCCTCCCTCCCAAACTTTTCTTGGGTTAGGGAAAAACAGAATGGTGGGAAAGCTGGTTCTCTTGCTTACTTGTATTTTTTAAATATTTTTATTTAAAAATATTTTTATTTATTTATTTTGAGACTGAGTCTCATTGTGTACTCCTGACTGGTCTGGAATTTGCTATATAGACCAGGCTGGCCTGGGATTTACAGAGCTCCATCTGCTTCTGTCTCCCAAGTGCTAGAATTAGAGGTGTGTGCCTCCAAACCCAGCCTAAGCAGGTTCTTAAGTAGCAGTTGAGAACTTAGCATCTTAAGCTGGCTCAGCTACAGAGCAGAGGCTCCAGTCTGATGATAAACCCCAGCTGCACTCATAAGTCATGCAACTTTAGAAAAGTTACTGCTTTCTCTTCTCTCAGTGGAAATTGTTTCAGATAGCCCTCACTCAGGGGAGCAACTGCTGAGGGGAAATGGTGGTAGATTGCTTTCTATTACTGTGAAAAACGCCATGACTAGAAGTAACTTAATGGGGAGGTTTTATTTCATTTTATATGTCCAGGAACCAGTCCATCACAGAAGGAAGTGATGCTTACTACAAGGTAGGAGCTCAAGGCAAGAACGGGAGTCAGGAGCTGATACACAGGCATTGGAGGATGCTGCTTATTGGCTTGCTCAGTCTGTTTTCTCATACACCCAAGAACCACCTTCCCACCATATTGCCATCCACTGTGGGCTGAGCCCTCCCACTTCAATCATCAGTCAAAAAAATGCCCACTGAATGCCCTGCATAAGCAAGGCAGTTTCTCCATTAAGGTGTCCTCTTCTTTGATGACACTGATTGTAGCTGTATCAAGTAGGCAAAAACAAAACAAAAAACTAACCAACATAGTGATAATGATAGGTTATATTCTCTAAGTGTTTTGTTTATTTGTTTGAGATAGGGTTTCTCTGTGTAACAGTCCTGTATGTCCTGGAACTCACTTTGTAGACCTGGCTGGCTTTGAACTCACAGAGATCCACCTGCCTCTGCTTGCCAATTTTGGGATTAAAGGCATGTGCCACTACTACCCAGCTTCCACCTCCTTTTTCAAAGATTTGTTTTAGTTTTTGTTTATATCATTGTATATGCTTGTGTACATTCAGGTACTCGTGGAGGTCAGAAGGTGTAATCATATCTCTTGTAATTGAAGTTACAAGTGTTTGTGAGCCACCTGATATGGATACTGGGGTCTAAACTCAGGACCTCTGGTAGAATAGTAAGCCCTCACCACCCCTAGCCCTTTCCCCACCCCTGGCCTTGAAAACATGATCCTTTGCCTTTGCCTCCTAAGTGATGGGATTACAGCCATATGCCATCAGGCCTGGCACCCTTGTCCTTATGCCCAGCCACATTTGCTTGCTTCGTTGCAGGTACAGATTACACGAATGTTGAGAGTAATGAGATTTCAAGTTTAGCCAGGTAAAATAAAAAGAAAATGACCAGAAATGTGAAAGAAACAAGCTGAGCCTGCTAGTACACATCTCTAATCCTAGTACTGAGGAGGCAGAGGCAAGAGAATGAGTTCAGTGTCTTCCTAGGCTACATGAGACCCTGTGTGGGGAAGAAAAAGTAAAAAGATAAGAACAATTCCCTGTGAAATCTCAGGTAAGGGATGGGACTGATTCCTACATGGTAGCTCACAACCAACCAGAAATCAGATCCAGAGATCTGACTCCCTCTTCTGACCTCTGGGCACCAGACATGTATGTGGTACACATACATACGTGTGTACATACATACATACATACAACATAAAGTAAAACACTCATGCACATAAAGTATACGAATAAATAAATCTTTAAAAAATAAGAACCAGCTTGTGGGGATGGAGAGGTGGCTTAGCAGTTGACAGCACACACTGCTCTTGCAGAGGACCTGGCTTCATTTCCTAGCACCCGCATCTCAGGAGGATTAAGTCATCTGTAACTCCAGTTCCAGGTATCTGGTGCCCTCTTCTGGTCGTTGTGAGTAACTGTACTCACAAGCACAAACCCACCCACAGACACATACAAATACACATGATTAAAAATAAATCTGTAAGGCCAGGCACAGTAGCACACACCTTTAATCCCAGCACTCAGGAGGCAGAGGCAGGTGGATCTCTGAGTTCCAGGACAGCCTCCAAAACTACACAGAGAAACAACCCTGTCTCGAAAAACCAGAAAAAAAGAATTATGGTTCCATTTGGAATTGGGCTACAAAGCAGGTGATCAGAGAATAATTGGAGGTTATACAGAGTTGACATTATATGGGAAGTAACACTAATGCTCTTAATCGTACTATTGTACACCCTTCCATGCACTCGGCCTTGGATATAATATCCCCTGAAACATGTGTTAGGGGAAGCCAGGGACTAGCACTAGACTAGAACAATGGAAATAGTACAGGGAGGGAAAGTTTTTGAGTGTGGTGGTACTAGAAATTGAACCCAGGACTTCACAAATAATAAAAACTATTTTTTTGAGATTTATGTATGTCCTAGAACTCACTCTATGTAGACCAGGCTGGCCTTGAACTCAGAGATCCACCTGCCTCTGCCTCCTGAGTGCTGGGATTAAAGGCGTGTGTCACCATTGCCTTATGACTTTTTTAAATTATTATTTTAGACTTATTTCTACTTATGTGTGTTTGCATGTGTGTCTATGCAGCACATCTATGCCTGGTGTCTCAGACACCCCGGAAACTGAATTTATTGACAGCTGTGAGATGCTATGTGGGTTCTGGGATCTGAGCCCGGGTCCTCTGCAAGCGCAGCAAGTGCTCTTCACTGCTGAACCCCTGTTTTGTTTTCTTTCACTTTGGTTTTTACTATTTTTGATTATCTGTGTGTGTATGTGTCCATGAATGCAGGTAGCTGCAGAGGCCAAAATAATAGGGTATCAGATCCCCTATAGCTGGAGTGTCAGCTGATTGTTTAAGTCCCTGACGTGAGTGCTGGGAAATTAACCAAGGTCCACAGCAAAAGCAGTATACATTCATAATTGCTGAGCCATCTTTACATACAGCCTGAGCTTTGCTTGAACTCTTGATCCTCTTGCCTCTGTCTTTCAAGTTCTGGGTTTACAAGTGTGTGTCAGCACACGTACATGAATGTTCTTTGTTCTTGTCATCCCTCTCCTGTGCTAGAAGAAAATCTTAAAAGGTGACGTTTTATGCCAGCTGTGCTACATAGCGGGCCTGTCTCCAGAACCCCGAGGTCTGGGCATGGGAGTTGTATTTGATCCCCGGCAACACTAAGATGGAGAGGGAAACAAAAAGACTTGGGTACTGATTCCCTTTTCCTCTTAACCCATACCACAGCCTAGGTTGACACAGGCTGGATGTGTGGGCAGCTGGATCTTTGCTCCAAGTAAGAACAGGAAAGGGAGTTGGGATGAGTGTGTGGCCTATAGCCCTGAGCTACAGGCCCTTCTTCACCATTACCTGTGCAACCTGTTTTTAGTCTCCATTTATCTGAGGAAGCAGAAAACTGTGGGTGATAGTGCCTTCAGGTTAGTAATTACCTAGAAAAACAAAACAGACTCCATCATGAAGTCTTAACATTCTTAGACTTATCTTGTAACATGCCCCTTGTGTGACAGGACAGAGCGGTTCACATCTGTGCCAACAGTCTTCATTCTGTCGTGTATAACTCAGGACTGTTGACAGCTGTCCTAGAAGGTGGATGTGAAATGCCCCCAGCTGATGCATTTCCATTTCTGGGCAATGCTAACGCATTTTAAGTCTGAAGGGATCAAGTTCAAGAGATCAGGGGAGGCTGTCATGGCCACAGCCACGTGAGGAATTGGCCTGAAATCTGCCTTTGGCCCACAGGAAGCCACACTGACAAACAGATGGGTGTCCTGAAGGCACAGCACAAGGAGGCTTTGGATACAGGATCAGAACTTGAATCTTGGCTGTGGGTCTGCTCTGACTTGCAGTGGGACCACATGTGAGATAAGACCTTTGAAAGAAATATGGCCGTACTTCTCCATTTGTTAAATATTGACTACATTCAACATGTAATTGGCACTGTTGTTTCTCAAACAGCAAGCTCATGTCTTTATAGAATTTACCAGGATATCTAACACAGAATCCTGAGCTACGGCTGGCCTGCTGAGTCAAAATGCAGGGCAGGGAAGAATCTGTGTTCTGCAGTGGTCCTTGCAAACATGGTGGTTTAAGACTGGATTTTGTGTCCTAGGCTGGCTTTGAACCCACTAAGTAGCTGAAGATGAATGGAAATGGCTGACCTTCCTGTCTCTTTCTCTTAAGTGCTGAGATAACAGGGTATGTCACCACACCTGGTTTTTGTTTTCAGTGCTGGGGATCGAACCTAGGACTTTGTACATGCTAAGTGCTTTTGCAACTGAGCTACTTTCCAGATCTTTTTCCAGCATATTTAAATAATTTGCAGTGCAGAATAATTTGTTCAATACTACACGGTAGGTATAATGATCAGCCCAGGTGTGCCAGGCTCTGAGACATTAATTACCCTGGGTGGTGGGAAAGAGACCATGAAAAGACCATTGTGTAGAATGTACAGCAGCACAGCTATTTTTGCAGTTCATCTTACTGATAATTTTGACATATATGGTTTCAATATTGCCTAGAAGAAATATTGTGCAAGTATGGTTAAAGCAGTTGTTGCACTGGAGCAGAGTCACACGAAGCAACAGATGATAAACTTTGAGCAGGGTCAGGTCATACTTAACTGTGAGCTCTTTGAGCCATAGGCCCTCTGCTGACACTGTTGAGCTCTGCAGCCACTATATGACAGACAGCACCTGAAGACAACATTTAAACAAGGGACAGGGATGTGTTCCAATTTTTTTGTTGCTTATTTTTTGGTTTTGAGACAATTTTTTTTGAAGTTTTGTATTTTTAACTTACTTATGAAACAGGGCCTCAGTCTCAAAACACCAAAAAACAGAATGTATCATTTAAAAGATTGTGTGTGTGTGTGTGTGTGTGTTCGCCTGCATGTATGTCAGTGTTCTAGATATGTCTAGTGCCCTTAGAGGTAGGAGAGGAGTGTTGGATCCCCTGGAACTGGAGTTACGGAAGGTCGTGAGATGTCTTGTGGATGTTGAGAAAAGAATCAGGTCCTCTGCAAGAGTAACAAGTGCAGCTGGGCGTTGGTGGACACGCCTTTAATCCCAGCACTCGGGAGGCAGAGACAGGTGGATCTCTGAGTTCCAGGCCAGCCTGGTCTACATAGTGAGTTCCAGGACAGGCTCCAAAGCAATACAGAGAAACCCTGTCTTGAAAAGGAAAAAAAAGAGTAATAAGTGCTTTTAACCACTGAGCCATCTCTCCAGCCCTGAGAGAGAGAGAGAGAGTTGGGTTTGTGCATGTAAGCATGAGTGCAGCCTTTGTAGGTGAGATCTCCTGGAGCTAGCGTTACTGGCAGTTGTAAGATGCTTGATTTGGGTTCTGGAAACAACTTGAGTTCTCTTCAAGAGCAGTATACGTTCTTAACCACTGAGCCATCTCTCTAGATGACCCCTCCCCATTTTGTGTGTGTGTGTGTGTGTGTGTGTGTGTGTGTGGTGTGTGCATGCATAACTATGCATGAACAAGCTTGGAGTGAGAGAATAACTTGTGAGTTGGTTCTCTTTGCTGTCATGTGAGTTTTAGGGATTGAACTTAGGTTGTTAGACTTGACAATAAGCATCCACTGAGCCATTCTGCAGGCCTCTGTGTTCCATAGAAACAGTGGATTGGATTTGATCCATGTGCAATAGTTGTCCAGCTGCTGACTTAGATAAAAGGCCTTAGAATGTAGGTATCTACTTGATATTCTAGGCAACAGGGACTGTAGAAGGAAAAAAATACAACTATTCCTGTCCTCTTGGAGCTTGTGTTTATACTCTTTATTATTAAATAATAAACATAGTTAGCCTGAGTATATATTAGAAAATAAATGCAATGGAAAAAAAGAGCAGAGTGAAGAGAAAGGGCTGTGATTTAAATAACATGGTAGTTTGCCTCGCTTGCAGGAAGCCTTGGGTTTGATCCTCAAACCTGCATGAACCAAGCACAGATACTCACATTATAATCCCAACACTTAGAAAGTAGAGGAAAAGCTGGGTGTTGGGAGCACACACCTTTAGTCCCAGCACTTGGGAGGCAGAGGCAGGCGGATCTCTGTGAGTTCAAGGCCAGTCTGGTCTACAGAGTGAGTTCCTGGACAGGCTCCAAAGCTACACAGAGAAACCCTGTCTAGAAAAACAAAAAACAAACAAACAAAAAAGTAGAGGAAGGAGGGTCTTCAGCTACATAGTGAGTTTTGAGGCCAGATCCCATCTCAACAAATTATAAATAGGGCTTGTGGGGGTGGGGGTTGTTTATGGTGGTGATGCATACCTTTGATTCCAGCATTCAGGACACAGGCAGACAGTTCTCTGTGAGTTTGACGCTAGTCTGGTCTATGTGAGTTCCAGGACAGCCAGGACTACACAGAGAAACCCTATCTAGAAACAAAAAACCCAAAAAAATTATAAATAGGATAATATAGGTGTGTCATCTAGATGGTGGTTCCAGGCTTACAATCCCAGCACTTGAGAGACTGAGGCAGGATTATGAGTTTGAGGCTAAGTCTGGGCTACATAATAGACCTGTTTCAAAGTCCTAGCACTTAGAAGAGGTAGGAAACTCCACTGCTGTTATAGCATTTTTATGCATATGTACTAAGTATTTTAGTCATAATGACCTCCCATTACCCTCTGTTTTTCATGTGAATTCATAAGTTAAATTAAGAGTACTTACCAGAGCCTAGGTAAGAAGCTACTTATAGGATCATGGACAGTTTACCAGTACTACTGGAGAAACTGCCTCTGCCTTCCAAGTGCTAGAGAGCCAGCAGATGTCCCCACACCTGGCTTTATGCAATCCTAGGGACAGAACCCAGGGCTTTGTGGATATAGGCAAACACTGAGCTATACCCCTAACCCAAAGTGTAAGAGTGTGTGTGTTACTAGGGATTTAACTAGACCTTGGTTGTCTTGTATAAGTGTGTTACTCCTGAGTGATATCCCTTACAAAGCTGAATTTTTTATTGCTTTCAGGGTTTTCCCATAAGAATTCTACAAGTAAAATCATTGAGCCCAATTGAACATTATTCAAAAGATGTTATATTATGTCATCCCCCCCCTTAAAGATTGCCAGCATTCGGGCAGCAGAAGCAGGCAGATCTCTGTGTTCGAGGCCAGCCTGGTCTACAAAGCATATTGCAGGACAGCCAGAGCTGATACATAGAAACTCTATGTCGAAAAGCAAACAAAAAGATTGGCAGCATACACACACAAGCGAGTGTGCATACTAACCATCTTTAGACACTCCTTGTCACTGGGTGCTTATTACATGTGGTTATGATTCCAGGCTCAAGCACGGACATCAGTGAGGATTGGGAGAAGGACTTTGACTTGGACATGACTGAAGAAGAAGTGCAGATGGCACTTTCCAAAGTGGATGCCTCAGAGGAGGTAAGTGCTCTGGTCCTTTCCCAACAAACCTTGCTGCCCTGCTGTTGCTCCCTGCATCCAGCTGAGCTAATGCCTGCAGGAAGGGATGCTGCTGCTCAGTCCTAGGCTGGATGCATGAATGAGCCCTTGACCTTAGGTCTGTATCACAGTCACCCAAGGAACAAGAAGAAAACAGATGCTGAGCCGAGCATGCTGACACACTCCCAGTATAAGCACAGTGCTCAGGAAGACACAGAGATTACTGTCGGGAGTACACAGAAAATTCAGGCTGACCTGGGCCTGGATTAAAATAGAGAAAGATATAGTATAGATGCTGAAGCCTGACCCTGGTCTGGTGACTTACAGGACCTTAGCAGGTTCCTGGCCTTGAAGACAGAAGACCTTTGAGAGCAAGTCATTTAACCTCTTTTCTCATCTAAATATAGGATTGAAACTAGCTGGCTTTGAAGCTTTAGCAAGGTAAATCATGTAAACACTGTAAGGTCCTGCCTGTCATGATGGCATCCAGTAGATAAAACCCATCCCTGCTATTCAGTTTAAATGAACCTTTCATTGTTTTCATTCTTTGCTGCCTCCCAAATCAAGAGTTGACCCAGTTCCAGCCAGAAATGATGGTGCACACCATTAGTTCCACCGCTCAGGAGACAGAGGCACACAGATCTCTGAGTTTGAGTTCAAGGACAGCCTGGTTACATATCAAGTTCTAGAACAACTAGGGCTACACAAGAGGTTCTGTCTCAAAACAAAACAGAGTTAGAGAGACATAGGATCTGAGTCTATTTCCTTTTCTCCTCTCTTGTTCTCTTTTCCCTCTTCCTTCCTCCCTGATCTCCTTTTCTTTCCGTTTTCCCTCAATGACTCACTATATCCCAGGTTGGTCATGAATTTATGTCAATTCTCTTGCCTTAGGCATGAACCACCAGGCTCAATGAGAAGGACCTGGTTTTTCATATTGAAAAGCTGGGGAATTAATGACCTATTCCTCACTATTACAGAAGACCTCATGTCCTGTTAGTCCTTAAGGGTTTGCTGGTTTGTCTTTTAGCTCTCTATAGAACCTGATATGCTTGGCCGAGAATGTGACTATGTGTTCAACAGGAGGTTCCGAGTTTGGTCCCCAGCCCTGAAAGAATGAGCAAACATACAGAACCTCCTGCTTAATCCCACTGCAGCAAGAGTCAGCTGAAAACAGCCCATGAGAGACAGGGCAAGAGCAAAGCTTGGGCGATAAGTCAGGGTGCAGAGCCCCTGGAGAAGACCTTGTGCAAAGAGAACATAAATGTAGCAGGAGGAAGAAAGAGTCCCTAAAGCTTGCATGACGCCTTTAACATTGACGAAAGAACAAGTTTTAGCTGTGTTAGCACTTGCAGCATGCTGCTGCCCTGCTCACAGCCACAGTGCCCCTCTCAGCGCTTGGCTTTAAGATGCTTACATAGCCTTTGTCTGCTCAGCAGGAAGCGGTTCAAGCAGACCATCCAGCAGAGCTGGGTTTAGTTGGTGGAAGCCGAAGGAAGGAAGCCCCTCCTTCAGTAGTATGCACGTGTTCTCCAGTGTACTCCCTAAAGCTAGGGATCACTTGTGCAGATTCCAGTGGTAGCCTTGCTTGGGGGGGGGGGGGCCTCTGGGCTTGACTCAGAGGAGTTAAGTGTGTTTGTGCTCTCATTATCTTCTCACCTTTGCAGCTGGAAGATGCTGAGTGGGAGGACTGGGAATGAGGGGAGCCGGAGCAAGCAGCTCCCCAACTCACAGCACATCCCACCTCCCTCGCTCGCTCATCTCAGCCAGCCTTGGAAGACACTGAGAATGTCCCCCCAAACGGCCTCTGCCATCCAGAAGTCGGTACAGATTCTGGTGGCTCCCTTCTGGCCTTCTGCTCACACCTTGGAAGAGCCTTTCTAAATACAAATCCAGAAGTCTGACTTGTGCCAACCTTAGGATGACCCAAAAGGAGGACCTGTACCCCATCACCGGAGAGCCTGCATTTCCCTACTGTTCTAGGGACCCCTTCTGGGAAACCTGGGGTAGCTGTCTTCTGCACAGACCAGAGCTGAAGCACCGGTCTCTGAGGAGGCCAAGATAAAGCATTCTATCCCATAAGCTAGTAAGCTAACAAGGAAGGCTATGGCTCCTGCCCTTGACAGCATTTTGGTTCCTGTCCCAGTGAATGAGAGGCAATCATCTCTGGGAAATTTGCCTCTCTCTGGAATCTCCCTCCCAAGCGTTTTCCACTCCTGGAAAGGTCCTATGGGTTCAGAATCTCAATACCAAACCTTGACTCTCCTTTAGCCCACACTGGGATATCCCTACATCTTCCCAGGGCTTGTTCATGTCAGATGCACCCAAGTCCTTAGCCTAGCTGTGCCACTGCAAGAGTCTGCTCTTGCAATTTCCCTCCCTCCCCAAGAAGGGAGGAGCCACCTTCAGGCCCTTCTGAGTATTACCTGGTTGGATACCTGCTCTGAGCAGGTACCTACCTTGACTCCCATAGCTTAGGACATAAGCCAGCTATGAGCTCTATGAAGTGGTGAGCAGAAGAGAGTACCCACAGTCCAGCAGCAAGCCAGCTCCTCCCAAGTCCTCTGCACCTGAAGCGATGTGCTGGGCAAGCACCCTGAGACTTGGCCGTCTCCTGCACAGTCCTCCTTCCTGAAGACATTCAGCCTGGGGCTCAGTGAGGGCCACACAGAGACCCGGTGCTCCACAGACGCCATTCTAGTGATTCTCCGCACTGGTGCATATACCAGTGACTTATTTAAAGGGATCTTGTCAGGGGCACCGTGAATGGTGGGCACTTCAAACCTTCAGTGAAGGGCTAGGATGGAGAGAATGCTAATTTTTTTTTTTTTTTTGATGGGATGGGGTTTTCTCTTTGTAATTATTTTAGTTTAATTAACCTTTTGGTTGTTTGTGCAATATTATATATTTTAAATTATAATGCATCTCCCCAGAGTATTTTGTAGCTGGGAAAAGAAAAAAAAAAAAAAAAAGGAAAAATTCTAACAGCTGTTAGTTTTATAATTAAAAAGGAACAAAAAAAAGTTTGTCCTGAACCTTTTACAGATTTGCCGTAACAGCATTAAAGTGATTGAACAGAAGCCAGAAGTGTCTGGGGATGTTTCTGTCCCCCTGGACAGCCATACTGGTGGGGATAGCTGGCCCCTGAGGCTCTGGTCTGAGAAAGGGATGAGCCTGACCAGCCTCTTACCATGCCACAGAGGCCGGGAGGCCATCTCTGCATCCCAGATGCTTTTGCTTTTATTTGGAAAGCAAGTTGTAGCACCTGTGTGGTTCCAATGGGTCATTTCCCTCTTCTCTTCTCCCATTAATTTAGGGTCTAACTTAATGAACTTTAACTGAACACCTATAAACATCGTTTGAGAACCACTAATAAAAATCTAGGTAAGGGCTGGCGGTGGTGGCACACACCTTTAGTCCCAGCACTAGGGAGGCAGAGGCAGAGGCAGGCGGATCTCTGTGAGTTTGAGACCAGCCTGGTCTACAAGAGCTAGTTCCAGAACAGCCTCCAAAGCCACAGAAACCCTGTCTCAAAAAATCAAAAAAAAAAAAAAACTAGGTAATGCCCTTGGTTCCAGGGGGATTGTTAGAGGAAAAGATGCCTTGGCTTGTGGGTCCGCCTTGGGGAGGTGGAAGTAAACTGTGGAGTGAGTGAGTGAACTTAAAGTGTAAGATATATATCACCATTTTAGAAGCGGGTTTTTGGGTTTGCTTTCTCCCCCTACTTTATTGGGGAGGACTTGCCATTGCTTTTATCAAGTGCTTGCTAGCCATGGGTGCCAACTAACTTCTTCGATTGAAGGCCGGAGTATCATGTCTGGTTCCAGGAGCCGCTTGAGCAGGTCCTGGCATTCGGTTGAGATGCCCAGATGAGTGGGAAAGGATACCCCCTTCTGCTGCTGCCACAGCATCTTGGGGATATCTGTGTCATCAAAAGGTAGACTTGCACAGAGCATTACATACAGGACCACACCCATGCTCCAGACATCACCTTTCTTGCTATCATGGGGTATGCCCTGTAGTACCTCGGGAGCGGCATAGGCTGTGCTGCCACAGAAGGTCTGGCTCAACTCCCTGCGTGACTTGGGTAGCACCTTGGCAAAGCCAAAGTCGGTCAGCTTCAGGTTGAAGCCCTGCAACAAGGCGTTCTCACACTTAAGGTCCCGGTGGGCCACGCCACAGCCATGGCAGTAGCGAATAGCCTCAACCATCTGTCGGAAGAGGGCCTTGGCCCGGCTCTCGGGAAGTGGCCCTCCGTTCAGCACACAGTCAAAGACATCCCCTCCCTCAGCCAGTTCCATCACCAGGTAGATTTTTCCATCTGCCGACTCCAGCATCTCATACACACGGATGATGTTTTTGTGGTCCAGGGTACGGACAATCTGGAGCTCCCGAGGCAGGAATCTCTGGATAAACTCTGAGGGAGAAGCAAGGAGGCAAAGGGGGCTATCAAAATCAGAAGGGCCTAATTTCCTCCCTCCTGACTCCTGTTTTCTGGCTTCTGTACACCCACCATGTCTGTGTGTCCCTCCTTAACTCCCTCAATAGTATCAGATGTTCTAGCAGCAAGTATTCCTTTATTATTTCATTGTTAGCTCATCCTTGGACCTCCTCCCTGCAGCCCGTGAGACCACCGATAAGAGGGTGCTTGGAAACCAAAGCTATTGAACCCCAGGATTCTTCCCAGGAGCCCTGTCTTCCTGTCCCATTTCCACCTCTTGGCACAGGTTCCTGTCATCTTCTAGCCAACACCTTCAAGGATAGGAAAAACTGAAGCTCTTTGCCTTGTGCTTTGTGGATGTGGGAAGATGCAGCCATCCTGGATTCCCCACATCTCTAGGCTACTACAGGTCTCAGGACAGTAATGTGCTTGCTTTCTGTCGTTCTGATTAGAAGGGAAGAACTGTGAGAGCAACACCTGCCAGCGCTGGCTAGTCCACCCTCCAAAGGGCCCCGGCTCACCTTCTGGCCCTCCCATCTTGTCTATAATTTTAATTGCCACTTTTCTTTGATGTTTTTTGGAAAATGCTTCTTTGACTTTTGAGTAGGTCCCTTCCCCAATGGTCTTGCCCAGCTGGTACCCATTGGAGAGTAGAAAGTCCTCCATGCTGTGTAGCGCCTCCTTCTTGTCACCCTCTCAGCTCATGCTGCCTCTTCGAGGCAGCTCTACTCCACCATCGCCCTTGGCCTGCTTCTTTTCCCCCCAAGGACTTCATCCACAGCTGCCTCCAGGGCTAGAACATTCTCCGTCTGGACACAGCCACAGGTGGTGGGGAGGGAGAGGACCAGACATTTTTAAACTGCTGCCCAATTGTGATGTAAATGCTGTGTGACCCTCAGACAAAATGGGCAGTGTCCCTGCTTTCCCTCACCACCACCGGCAAAACCAGCCTCACTGAAGTCATTCATGAGTAAGGCACCGAGTGGTAACAGTGCCAGAGAAGGGGCCCGGCTGCCTGTGTAGGCCAGGGGTGCGGGGCTTCTCCAAGTGGGCTCGGTCACCCTCATCTCCGAAGTCTTCATCGAGCTGTTGGGGGATAGTGCAAACTGGTCACCAAGATGCGGTCGCCAGAACCCTCTGGCTTCAGGCCCTGGGCCCTCACTAAATGCCCGAATAGCCTGGGATAGCCTAGAATTCCAGCGAGGAACAGGCTGTGTGAGGTCAGCACCCTCAGACCGGGGTCACAATGCAGCCCTCCCCTTCGACGCTGGGGCCCCAGCGAGCAGCAGACACCTGCCAGGCTCCGCCTGGACCGGAGCGTCCTCCCGCGGCCAGGGCTCGGGCAGTTGCTTCCAGCCTGGGACCGGCCTCGGCCTCCGGCAGGTAAGCCACGACACAGGAGGAGGCACGGGCAGGGAGCGCCCAGAGGCCCTGAGCCGCCTGACCGCCACTCCCCGCGCAGAGCGCCCAGGGGCCTGGACATGAGTGCCCAGGAGACCCCACAGGGTCGAAGATTCCCCATTGAGGCCGGAGACTCCCCTGGCCTTGCCTCCGCCCCCGAGTCCCAGGACAGCCCGGAGCCTGTAGCTACGGATCATAACCCTGTCAGGTGAGGCCGATGCCCCGCCCCTCGGCCCCGCCCCATCGCCATCCCCAGGGCCCTACCCTGGAGGACCCCAGGCGCACCCCCTGGCACGCTCCAACACTATGCGTCCCCTGTCGCCTGCCGCTTTCGCCAGGCCGCTCCGACGCTGCCCGGGCTGCCACTGTCTGACGCTGCTGCACGTGCCCATCGACGTCTACCTGGCCATGGGCGGGAGCCCTCGGGCCCGTGCCACCTGAGCGCGCCTGCGCACGGCAGCTCCGCAGGAGCCGGGCAAGACGAGGCCAGCCGCGGGCCACCACGCTGAGGTCGCACGCGCCGAGCACGAGACAATGATGCACATTTTAAAATAAAAGAATGATGCACATTTTAATAAAGCACAGCATAAACTGTTCTTTCCACTTCGGGCTGGCCGTGTATGTGTATCCGTCGGATTGGGCCCACCGGCTGCTCTGCCCCAGCCAGTATCACAGGACTATCCCTTGGGCTGCCTTCTCCCTCAGACCAGCTCTCCACCCATCTCCGTTTCTCAGCCAGCCTCCCTCTCAACCTGTGGATCTCGACCCTTTGAAGGAGAATGACCCTTTCACAGGAGGTCGTTTAAGACCATAGGAAAGCCAGGCATTAGTGGCGCATGCCTTTAATGCCAGCACTGGGGAGGCAGAGGCAGGCAGATCTCTATGAATTTGAGCCCCGCTTTGTCTACAGTGCGAGTTCAAAGACAGGTTCCAAAGCTACAAAAAGAAACCTTGTCTCGAAAAAGCAAATAATAATTTTATGTTCGCGGGTCATCATAACACGAGGAACTATATTAAAGGGTCACAGCACTAGAAAGGTTGAGAACCATGGCTCTAGGGGGTTGTCACCCTTTTCTGAGGAATCCTCCTTGCTACTCGTTCTTTCCCCCTTCACCTGCAGAATACTCCAGTTGTCAGTCTCCCCTTCCCTGACCTGGGTTTCTCTGCAGGACACTGGCCGTGTACAGCAGTTCGGGACTGAAGCAAGGGAGGGACAGACGAGCAGACAATGTAGGGGAAAATAACAAAAGACTGACCACAACAAGTCTATGTAATTCCTCCACGCTAGAATTAGATTGAGCTCTCTGCTGTCCCTTGACCTGCTGTAGGGGTCAGGGGATGACCCCACCTGTTTGGACCTTTGGTTTCAATTAAAACTATCAGGGTTACTGATTGAGGAGAAAGTTATTTGAAAACTATCTTAATTTTTTTTTTAGATTTTAATTTTACTTTATGCGTATGAATGTTTTGCCAGCATGCATGGGTGTGGACCACATGTGTGCCTGTTGGATTCCCTGAACTAAGGTTAAAGATGTTTTTGAGCCACTGTGTGGTCGCTGGAAATCAAACCTGGGTCCTTTGCAAGAGCAACCGCTGCTCTTATCAACTAAGCCACCTCTCCAATCACCACCCACCTACCCACCCCCATGTTTTGTTTTACATGGCCTAGAACTTGCTTTGTTGATGAAGTTGTCTCTAAACTGGAGAGATGCACATTCCTGTGCTCCCTGAGTGCTGGGATTAAAGGTGTGCACCACAATTTCTGGCCCCTCAATTTTCCTCTTTTCTTTTATTATGTGCATTGGTGTTTTGCTATGGGTGTTGGGTCCCCTGGACCTGGTGTTGCAGACAGTTGTGAGCTTCCGTGTGGGTTGTTGGGAATTGAACCCAGGTCCTCTGGAAGAACAGTCAGTGCTCTTAACCACTGAGCCATGGCACCAGCCCCAACCCACCCACAACTTTCTTAATTACCTGTTTTATAGATGAGGAATTAAAGGACTCACTCAAGGTTTCCCGAATAATGGTTAACTCTGGAGCATACAACTATTCCATCTCACACTAAATGCCTTGAACACCCCCACCCCATAGCAGGAGCCATGACAGGAAGGTTCCCAGAAAGGAGCCCATTTAAGTGGAACACATTCCAATTTTGCTATTGTTGATCTATAGAAATAATGGTGGTGATGGTAATTATTTTAGGTTTTTTTTTTTAACATGTCGATCCCAGTTCCCTCTCCCTCCCTAATTATTTTAGATTTTTAGTTTTTTTTTTTTTTTTTTTTTTTTTTTTGTTTTGTTTTGTTTTGTTTTTGTTATGTTTGACAGAATCTTACTTTGTAGCCCAGGCTGGCCTTTAACTTTGATCTCCCTGACTCAACCTCCCAGTAAATTACAGATGTACACCACTACATCAGGCCCTATAATTTATTGGGTTTTTTTTTTTTCTCTTTAAATATGAAGATATGTGGGGCTGGAGAGATAGCTCAGTGGTTAAGAGCACTGGTTACTCTTCCAAAGGTCCTGAGTTCAATTCCAGCAACCACATGGTGGCTCACAACCATCTATGACATTTGGTGCCCTCTTCTGGCCTGCAAGGGATACATGCAGACAAAACACTGTATACAGAATAATTAAATCTTTAAAAAAAAAAAAAAAAAAAAAAAAAAAAAGGATATGTAACCTGAAGATCTAGTTTGATCAGCAGCCCCTTGAGATCTAGAGTAAAAATTACTAAAGTATCTTTCCCCTGACCCACATGAGGTGGGATCAGCCCCCTTGATAGAATACTTCAGACCCCATTGCCATCTGAAAAAGGCAATTTGTGTGTGTGTGGGGGGGTTGCTTTTGTTTTTTCTGGTTTGTTTTGTTTTTTTTCAAGACAGGGTTTCTCTAACTTTGGAGGCTGTCCTGGAACTAGCTCTTGTAGACCAAGCTGGTCTCAAACTCAAAGAGATCCCTCTGCCTCTGCCTCCCTAATGCTGGGATTAAAGGCAAGCACCACCAATGCCTGGCTGAAACAAGGCAATTTAATTTTTGGTTGGTTTGTTTATAAAAAATAAGAATAAAAACAAAAACCTAAACAGGGTCTAATGTATCTGGATATGACCTCAAACTCACCAGATAGCCAAGGCCAGACATAGGCCTGTGCCAAAGGCTTTGTGCCACCACAGTTTGATTTGTCGCTGGGGATCCAGCCCATGCCTTACACCTGTTAAAGAAGTGCCCTACCAACTCATCCTTTAAAAAAAAAAAAAAAAAAAAAATTTCAAGACGGTTCCTCTGGCTATCCTGGAACTTGCTCTGTATACCAGGCTGGCCTCAAACTCAGAGATCATCCTGCCTCTGCCTCCTGATTGTTGTTAAATGGTTGCTGTTTTTTCTTTTTTCTTTTTTGGTTTTTTGAGACAGGGTTTCTCTGTGGCTTTGGAGACCGTCCTGGAACTAGCTCTTATAGACCAGGCTGGCCTCAAACTCACAGAGATCTGCCTGTCTCTGCCTCCCAAGTGCTGGGATCAAAGGCATACACCACCACCGCCCAGCCCTTACCTAGATTTTTATTTCTGTTTTTTTAAAGACTGGTTTATCTTTAGTATATATGTGTGGAGTAAAGGCAGTTGTGAGCCATTGTGTGGGTGCAGAGGATCAAACCCAGGACCTCTGAGAGAGCAGCCAATGCTCTTAAATGCTGAGTCATCTTTCCAATCCCTTTTTATTTTTTAAGGAGGTTTTTCTATGCAAGTTTTGAGCCTGGCACTCTACCACCTTCTCAGAGCTGGGATTACAGTCACCACACCCAGCTAAAGTACCTTTGTTGATTTCCACGAAAGCTCTCCCAGGTGGTCCTTAAATGCTAGGCTCTGTGGACTCATCCAGCCCTGAAAGGCTGAATCCTTCCCATTCTCCCTTTTTCCTCTCATCTCTGGTAGCCCCGCCCTCTTCTCAACCTTCCTATTCTTTTAAAAAGACTGTTCAAATACTAAATAAATTTTAAAAAATGGTTTAAAAAACAAAACAAAACAAAAAAACCCTAAAACATAAGCGTTTTGTGCCACCACCTCCTGTACGTTTGGTTTGTAAGGGAGGCTGACTTTTGGCACTGACCTTGCCAAGACAGACTAGTTCTAGAACACCAGAGAGCCAGAGAAAGGGACATTCCAGGCAAAACACTGTGAGCAAAGGCTCTAAAGCAGGATGGCGGAAAGCAAGCTCAGGAATTTAAGTTCTCATGCTCTCATGAACTTTGTTCTGCAGACAGCAGATTAAGCCAGGCTCCATTCTGCTCTGCTCTTTCTTCCTACTCAGAAAAGCCTCCAGCTTCCACTCCAATCCTGAGTTCAAGTCCTGTCTCTGCCACTAGAGAGTGACCTTGGGCCACTATCTAAGCCTGAGTTTCCATGTGCATATCTGGAAAGCGAGGCTTTGGTAAGGCCATGTCTATATAGTACCAGACAGGAGGCTGGACTCAGCTAGCCTTTGAAAAAGTGAGGCTGCAATTGCTGGTACTCTGACCTTTGTTTTCA